CAAATTGATGTATATGAATATATGTGTGGGAATATATATCTATATAGAAAAATATTTTATGTGTACATAAAAAACTTTGGATTTTGGAGCATTTTGAAGTATTTTTTGAATGGAGGGATTCCTATTACCTATTCTATAGGACTGTTGTAATTAAACGAGCTAATGTAGCTAAGGCATTTATAATCATGTCTTACACATAGAAAACATTCAGTAAGTGTTCGTATTACTGTTACAGTTGTGTGTATTTAACAACTGATTACTATATCTGTGATTACAGAAAAATTATCCTTTAATTTTTTTTGTGGTACCAGGGATTGAACTCAGGGCCCTGGGCTTGCCAGGCAAGCACTTATTCTACTGAGCTATCTCCCCAGCCCTTTAAAAATTTTAAGCAATATCTAGAACTTACTTTATTTCTGAATCAGCCATGCTATGGAGAAAGGAGCTGGCACGCAGGTTAGAGGTCAAGTCTCCTAGAGGACAAGGAGGCCACACTCTCATGGGCAGGGCAGGGCAGCACCAAGCATCTCAGCACAAGAGCACGTACACAAGAGGTTCCTGTGCCAGCCAGGGGGGTGTCCTGGGTCATCTGGCCTCCTACCAGTCGCCCAAGTCACCACTATCAAAAGGAAATGCTAGAGATCAATAACACTAGCAAAAATGAAGAGTGAATAAAGAGTGAACCCAGTCAAGGAAGGAATCCAAGAGCTTGAAGATGTGTCCTCTGAAAGTCCCCACAACGACATATAAAGGGGAGGACCCCAGAAAAGAATGCTCCAAACCTGCGGTATAATTTTAAAAGGCAAAAATATGTATAAAAGATATGTGTAACTGAAACATTCAGAGAAGAAAGCTAGAATGAGGAAAAAGAACGGAGAAATCGTGTCTAATAATTTCCTAAAATTTATGATAGACATCAAGCCATGGATCCAAGAAGCTTAGAGAACAACAGGCAGACTTTAAAAAATTCTTAGACATATTATATACAAAATGCACAAGGCCAAACATAAGCAGAAAAGCCCACAAGCCAGAAAAAATACCTCATCATCCTTACAGAAAAATGCAGATGAAAATTATGCAGACTGTTCATCTGAAACAAACAGGGATGCAGTAAAATATTTAAAAATTTGACAAAAGGTTAATTGCCAACATAAAATTCTGCATCCAGTGAACTTACCTTTCAAATGCAAAGAATAAACAAAGACATCATGAAAACAGAAACAGCAAATTCATAACCAGTAGAGTTGGCCTGCCAAAGATGGTAAACTAAATTCTTTTGGAAGGAGTGATAGAGGTCTCTCAGCTCTACATAAAAAGAAAGAACATCAGTGAAGGAACAAATAAAGATAAAATAAAATGTTTCATATTGTGTGCTCTTTTTTTTTTTTTGGTACAGGGTCTCACTATACAGCTCAGACCCATAGTGATCCTCCTGTTTTCAGCCTCCCCAGTGCTGGTATTATATGTGTGCGTCACTACGCTGGGTCTCAGTGGCCAGCTCAGCACACCCTGGGGGTGGGACTGGCACAGCACATGGTGCTAGGGATCAAACACCGGTCCTGCACTTGCCTAAGCAGGTGCTTAGTCCACTGAGTTATCTCACTGGCCCTTATATTTGCTATTCTTAATTGTTCAATATGTCTGTTGAGGGTAATAATAGTAACAGTGGATTGGGCAATAATCATTTATGGATAAGTGAAGTCAATGAATGTGATACTATAAGGGATGGGAAGAAGGAAGAATAAATGCTTTCTTATAAGGCACTTGTGCACTCATGAAGTATATATATATTATTATTTTTTTATTTTTGAGACAGAATCTCGCTATGCAGTTTGGGCCAGCCTTGTGCTCACTTTCGTAGCCCTCAGGCTGGTCACAAACTCACAGTGATCCTCCCAAATGCTGGGACTACAAGCATGCTCCACCAGGCCCGGCACAGCATGTGGGGACAGGGATCGAACTTGGGACCTTGTGCTTGCCAGGTAGGCGTTCATGCCTCCGAGCTATCTTCTCAGCCCCTTATTTTTCTTTTTAACATGGATTTATATTAGCTATCCATGTATTTGGCTTTTTTTTTTTTTTTTTTTTTGCGAAACTGGGGATTGAACTCAGGCCCTTGCGCTTGCCAGGGAAGCGCTTATTCCACTGAGCCATCTCCCTGGCCCCTAATGTATTTGAAACTTGGACAAAAAATAAAAAAGAAAATTAGAGAAATATAGTTGATATATTAAGACAGAAAAGAAAAAAATCATATAGAATATTTAATGAAAACAGGTATAGGCACCTCAGGCGAAAAAAAAAAACAGGAATAGGCAGAAAAAAAGAAAAAAAGAACATGAGCAATTAGTAGAAAACATGGTAGTTATTAACCAGACTATATAAACATGTTAAATGTGAAAGGTTGAAATGTACCAATTAAAAGACACTGACAGAATGGATGAAAAATTAGATCCAACTCATGTTGCTTATGGAAAACCCATTTTAAATATAAAGACAGGTCAATACTAAGTTTTTTAGAAGCTGTAGAAGTTATATTATTTTCAGCTGAAGCAGAATTCAGAATGAGAAAAGGTATCAGGGGTACAGAGAGACATAACACACAGGAGGCAATTCTCTAAGAAGACACAATAATCCCTAACACACACCAAACACCAAATACCTAAATATGCAAGGCCAAAACCAACAGAACTGTGTGTGAGAAGAAACCGGCTAGCACACTAGTACACTTGAGGGCTTCCATACCATTCATTGGGTAACCGATATATTACAAAGGCAAAACAGCAATATGGATGTAGTCACCCCTAGCAGTACTATTAGCCAATGTGCTACCTGACATGTACAGAATACTCCATCCAACAAGAGCGGAACGCACAGCGATCTCACACGGACATAGATCATGTACTGAGATATATGACATTCTGAATTACATAGGGTGACACTGTATATCTCTTTCTGTTCAAGAGTAAGTTCATGGAGCTGGAGGCAGAGCTGGGGTGGGGGCAGAGGGTGCAAGTGGTTGGTACACACAAGGCCCTGGATTTGATCCCCAGTTAAAAAGTTTTTGAGGGGGCTGGTGAGATGGCTCAGTGGTCTAAAGCACCTACTTAGAACAAGCTTAGCAAAGCACAGGGACCGCGGTTCAATCCCCCAGCACCACATACCAGCCAGCCCCGCCCCCTGGTGGGCTGAGCTGGCCACACACACACACACACACACACACACACACACACACACATAAATAAATAAAATTTAAAAAAAAAAAGTTTTTGAGGTGTAACTCACATGCTATAAAATTCACCATTTAAAGTGTACACTATAGTGTACAATTTAGTATATTTATAGAGTTGTGTGATTGTCACCACTATATAATCTTACAACACCTTTATTCCCTCTCCAAACCACAGCACTCATCAGTCATTTCTCTCTTCCCTCCCTGCAGTACCTGAAAACCACAAAGCTACCTTCTGCCTTGATGGATTTGCCTGTTCTGAGCATTCCTATAAATGAGGTTATGTAATATGTCAGCTTTCGTGTCTGGCTACTTTCACCTTGCATGATGTTTTCAAAAGTCATCAGTATCCTATCATGTATCAGTACTTTTTTTTATGTATTTAGTATGGGATGTACAGGGCCTACAGGGTTTCACTAGGTAGATCAGACTCATAGTCATTCTCTTGTTTCTCAGCCTCCCAAGTGCTGGGATTACAGGCACAAGCCACCACACCCAGTCTCAATCGCCTTCTCAGTGCACCCCAGGGGTGGAGCCGACATGGCAGGCCAGGAGGTCTGTCTAAGCAGATGCTTTAATCCGCTGAGCTATCTGGACAGCCCAGTACTTTATTTTTTTATACAGCTGAATAACCTTCTACCATATAAGCAACCACATTTTATCTACCCCCTCTGCATTTTTAAGGTTCCAACCACCTCTGTAGTATTAGCTCTTTTTAGAACCCCTTGTTTCAGGTAGCAGAACTTTTTTCTGATAAGAAAGATTACTGTGTTCTAACCACAAAGGAAAACAAGGATATTTCCCCGACTCTTCTTCTATGATACTATCTTAACAGGATAACATGATTAAACATAAGCAGAATCCAAGCATCCATGCCCTAGAAAGACATTTGCAGCTCTGCTTACCTGCAGGTGGCCAGGCCTTGATGTATCCTGTGCAGTGGACCACAGCATATTGGGCTTCACCTTCTTTCACAGGGCCAAGGCCATTCCTGTAGAAGGGACACTGTGAAGCTGTTTGTATCCCATGGTGTGAGCCAAAGACGTCCATGATTCCTTTGGCATCTTTCTCTGCCATTGGGACTTTGACTCCTGACTTCCCAACACCCTCTCCTTATGCTCCTGTGTGGTCTAAAGTCTCAAGCGAGTGCCCCCACAGCTCCATCTCATGTGACACAGGCACCCTGAAGCACAGCCCCTTGGTCCTTCTCTACACTGGGCCCCACTTCAGAAAGGGATGCTCCTCTGCATAAGAGTTTGAGCCATAGACCACACAGTCCCAAAGCACACATCAGAAAGGGATGGTGAGGGCCAGGGATAGAGCTCAGCAGTACCTACCTGGCAAGCTCAAGGTCATGAGTTGTATTCGTGATATCAGGAACAAAAGAAAGGAAGGAAAGAAGGAAGGAAGGGGGAGAGGAAGAGAGAGAGAGGGGAAGGAAGGAAGGAAGGAAGGAAGGAAGGAAGGAAGGAAGGAAGGAAGGAAGGAAGGAAGGAAGGAAGGAAGATAGGGATGCTGACCTGAACCTTTTCCTCATGGTGGTTATTCTGTTTAGAGGCAGGTGGTCCAGTGGAGCATTTCCACACCTAGGAATTGTCACAGGTATTAGAATGGGTGAGGACCGAGTAAGCTTATAAAACACACCACACTGCTGCAGATGGGTCTTCGCTGGTGCTTACACACTTATCCATGGCCAATTTCTTTCTCAAGGGCAGACACAAGCCCTCACACCTCTGAATGTGGATGTGTGCCTGCTTGCAAAGCACACAGCACACAGGCATTTCCACGTTCGGCCCAGAGCCAGAGGCCTACTGAGTGACTAGGAGAAGCCCAGTGGTGCGCAGACCTATGGTTCATTTTTGCAGAATGGGTGACTCTCAGGAAACAAGGCGATGATGGAGGCAGTCTCCTCAAGCCTGAGCAGACACCAACTTGAGACAGATGCTGAGGCACAGGTGCACCTTCGCAGGCATTAGCATCCCAGCCGCAGGGACGTTCCCTCTCCACAGGTTCTGGCCCTAAGAATACTGGAGAGCTGGCCACTGCTGCTGGCCAAGAGGAGCCTGGGACAGGGGACAAATAGGTACTGAGCCAGGCCTTTCTGGGGGTCCCTCTCTGGGAGCCAGGGTGTGTAAGGCTCGCCCTGCCCAGTCTGGCAGGGATTTTCCTGCCTCCCTTCTTCGTGATGCTCCCCTTACCCCAGGCCAATGAGCTAGGCCCTCAGCATGGCCAGGCTGGGATGGCGGCGTGGTGTTGCCTGCCTGTCTGGTGTACTTCCATTTCCAACCACATGGCAAGCAAAATCCTGGATGCCTTCATTTCCAACTGGCAAAGATAGGAGTCTAATTATTCTGAGATCTTGGTCAGCTGCCAGCACTGGCGAAGTTTCCACAGCAGGATGAGATCGTGACATTGCTGCTCAGGGCCCCCGTGGGGCCCTCTGCCCTTTCCAAGTGGGCCATGCCCACATCTGGCTAAAATGAAGCTGTTTAATTTGGAGAAAGCTGTGCTCTCAGCTGTCAGCAGCACTGTCCACCTCCCAGTCAATCCAGGCAGGGCAAGGCTGGCACTTCTAAGAGCGGCTTGGAGCCCATTCCCCAGAGCATGCACCCCAGGGCAGCAGGGTCAGCATGGATCTGGGCAGCAGGGCTGTGACAACAGACTGCTAACAGATGGGATCTGCATGGCTCAGCCAAGCAAATGAGTCAGGAGAGAGCTGCTGGGTGGTACAATGAGGACCTTCCCTCACTGGGGCCTCAATGAACGCCCCAAGCGGGGTGGGCACTCACTCATCCCCAGAGCACTTCAGGCCTCTACCAGGTGAGTGAGAGGCAAGCTGCCCACAGGACTCCATCCTGAGCTAAACAGAGACTGATGCCACCCCCAAGCTGCCTGGCGAGCTGAGGCAGGTGATGAAGGGGACTGCATCCAAGCCCTCTGCAGAGAAGCACAGCAGAGGAAGGGACAGCTCTCCCTGGACCTGGAGGTGGGGGGCTATTTCTCATGGCAGGGAGCCACAAGCCTCTGCAGGTTTCAGGGCCCAGAGACTGTCTGCCGTTAACACAGCAGACACTGGGAAGCTGAAGGGCCTTAACCTGTAGCTAAGCAGGTTTTGTTTAAAATGTGTACTTCTTTAGAAGATTACTGTGAAATGGGAGAAATATTTGCCCTTCTACAATACCTATTGTGCTTTGTAGTGCCTAAAAGCTGCTCAAGCAGAAAATCGTGGTGTCAGCAGCAAGTGACAGAGTAGGGTGACATGAGGGAGTGTCTCTACAGCGCAGGGCCTGCGCGCACAGCATCCTGGGGCTGGCAGCTTGGCAGGGCAGGGGGCAGAGCAGGCTGACTCTGGGCTGGGCGAGATCCACATAGATCCTTGCCTTGTGGTCAGGACAGGTGCTCAGGGAGCACATGGGGGTCTGTGCCAGCCTGCCTAGGGCCCCAGGAGGCTCCTGGAGGAAGCGATGAGGTCCATGCGCAGCATGGCCCCTGTTGCTCTCCCGAGATCTAGCAATGGATCTTTAGTGCCTACACTGAGCAGCAGCACTGGGCAGCCAATGGGCTCCTCCCATCCTGGGCCTTCCTTACCCATTTTTGGACCCTTTGTCCCATCCAATTGCTCTCGTCTCCTCTCTGGCTCTGGTATCCAGTCTACATTCACTTCACAAGTGCCCTTGTACTCATCCTAGGGCCACACCCTCAGGTGCCATCACCCGGGCCCTGGTGCCTCCCTTGGCTTCCAGAATTACCATCCAACTATCGGCTTGTCTTCTCCATTTCACTCTCAGATACTCACATCTATCTTAGCAGGCTGAAATTTCCCTCCACCCCAAACCTGCTCCCCTGGTCACCCTTCCTGACGCAGTAAGTGGCAACTCCATTTTTCCAGCTGTAAGCAAACGCGCCAGCCTTGTCTCTGACTCCTTCGCTTTCTCACATCCTTCCTGCAGGCCAGTGCCATCTCTGAAATACAGCCCAAGTCTGAACTCTTGGTGCACCTGCATTACTATAGCACCCTCCTCGCTTCCTCCCTGCTCCACACAAAGCCAGAGCAATTTTTAAAATGTTGTCCAGAACAAGTGACCCTTACCATCAAAGCCAAAGGACCTCCATCTCGTCTGTCACAGCTGACATCCAGGACAATATGACCCACCATCTCCAGCCTCTTGGCTTTGTCTCTTCCCCCTATGCTCACACAGTACCTCTTCCTTCTCCTCCTCCTTCTGCTCCTCCTCCTCCTCCTTCTTCTTCCTCTTCCTCTTCCTCCTCCTCTTCTTTTTTGTGGAACTGGGGATTGAACTCAGACCCTTGTGCTTGCCAGGGAAGTGCTTGTTCTACTGAGCCATCTCCCCAGCCCCTGTACCTGCTTCTGAGGCTGCAGTCTCTTCACTGTCCCCTGAACACGCCAAGGACATTCCCACCTCAGGACCTGGGGGACCACTATTGCCCTACTTGATGTTCTCTTCTACAGATCTATCCCATCTCATTCACTTGCTTTCTTCAGGTCTCTGCTCAAAGGTCCCCTGATCACTCAACAGAACATGTACACCTGGGCAATGCCTACTACTCCGACTTCCCTCCAAAATCTGCTCTTCCTCTGTAGCACTCACCACGACCTGACATTCTGTATAGTATCTGGCTCTTCTGGCTACCCCATTTTTGACTCTCTCAAAAATACGTTCAGTGAAAGCCATGACTCTGTCTGCTTGGATGAACAGACTCTCCAACTCCTTAACCATTCCCCAGGGCAGTGGCCCTTGGTAGCAGCTTGTTGAGCAACAGACAAATGAATGCATGAGCGAATGGATAAATGGCACAGCCGGTGTCACTGCTCAACAGTCCCATGGGACAGGCACATCTGTCTCATCCACACCCCTCTGCAGGCATGGAACTAAAGCTACTAGGGAATCTGAACTGGACTTGAGGATTCAACATCCTAGTTCTGTCTTCTTTGGAGACACCGCTAGACTCCTTGATGACTCCAGAGTTCAGACTCTCCAGCATTTCTTCAAAAATGATGAGAATTCCACCAACCATAGAACAAAAATATTTGACAACAATATTGCCTTTGTACTGAATTTCCCCTGTCATTATTCCCTAAACAACAAAGTACAACAGCTACTTAAATAGTACTTCTGCTGTATTTGGGTATGAAAAGTAATTAAGAGATGCTTTAAAGTATGCCAGAGGATATGTGTGAATTATAACAAATACTATCCGAGACATGGGCGTCTGAGGGTTTTGGTGTTGGTAACAACTCCTGGACCCGATCCACCATGGATACAGGGGACAACAGTATGTGCAGAAGAGCCTGCTAGGTGTCAAGGAGGCAGGCAGAGTTATAAATCAAAGCTTCTATTCTCGGGTCATTATCACTGATTCATGAAGCTAAGATAGTTACACTTACAGTATCAATCAATAATGAAACAGCAATTTCAACGGTATGCACTGCCACAGGAAAAACAAAAGTAAGTCTGGATTCAGTAGTTTCAACACAAACATCTGGAGAGAGGTGGAACCTTGGAGAGGCTGGACTTAAGGAAGGCCTTGAGGGAGGGGCAGGAAGTCAAGAAACGGTAGGCAGGGGCTATGATCTGAGAAGAGGCAGAAACTGGTACACACCAGACTCCGAGTGACGGGCGGAAGGAGGGAATCCTTCTATGGCAAACAAGAGCGAATGCCTAGTCTGGGGTCAAGAAGATTCAGTCACTGCAGTGGAGCTAAGCAGCACATATGACCTTAGTAGAACTGAACCAGGCTCAGAAGGGCAGGTTGGTAGGCAGGACCTCCCTCCCGGACGCTATAGTCCTGGAACCCCGACAGACCTCATCCTGCAGATGAAAGAGCGCCGTGAGCCCATGCACATTCTCATGGATGACTGCTGCCCCTCTTTCTTGACCGTCCCCGTCTTCAAGTCCAGGATCCGCCCTGAGAGAAAGAAGGACACACATGTCATGCTGGCTGAGGCCCGGGTGGCAGGCAGGGGTGAAGCCACATGAGCTGTTTGCTTGTTCTTCAGCAGGAAACTCCCACCATGAGGCCTGGCAAGTCAGAAGGCCTTGCTGCTTCCAAAGTGGTCTACACTGCCATCTCTGCTGTCAGCTCATCGCCTGAAGCCACTGCCCAGACTGCCCCCACACACTGCGGAGACAGCATCTGCCAAGGCCACCAACAGCCTCCTCACTGCTGAACCCAAAGAGTGTGTTTCCTTTATTTTATCTGACTGCACTGCTGAACTTGACACAACTGCACACTGACTCCTTTTCAAAACTTCCCCGGCTCCCTACACAGCCTTTTCTAGTCTTTCCCCCACTAACCTTTCAGTCCCCAGGGCCTCCTTCCTCTGCCACCCCAGCCACCTTCTTGCTTTCTTTACATCTGTCCCCATGCAGTTTCACCCACTCCAAGCTTTTGGCAGTCACTGCAGGATGTTAACCACACCATACCTGCACCTCCAACAGCAACCCTTCCCTGTCCTTAGATCTGTGCCGCTCCCCCAAGCACCTGGCATCAGCAGGCACACCACCATGGACATGAAAGCCCAGACGGTCTCTGCCCCTATCCTCTCCCTCCCTGCTGGACACAGGCCCTATCTGGCCACCCCTTGCCTGTGCCACACCCTTCTCCCCTATAACAGGAAGGAGAGCTGAACCTCAGATCATGCACCCCTCAAGCCATGGGGCTCTGTTCCATGTTCTCTTTCCATTCTGCAATTTTTAACCTCCCCTTACCACCGCTGACATCCTGGCATTGACACTGGTTTTAGGAAGTAAACCAGACGTCACTTGCCTTCACTAGCCTGGAAGTCCCTGGCCTCTTCTCCACATAGTCAGGCTCTGCTGCTCGTGGCCACTGCTGCAACTGGCCTTCACTCGCCCGCTCCAGACCAGACCACAGGGCTCTCCAGGCACCACACTAAATAAACCCCAACCAGGTTCACTACCTCATCCTTCTGGGGAACCTCAGTGGCCCTCTTCCTGGGGACCTCAGGCTCCAAGGAGGGCTGTGTGCTGTGACAAGACGCCCCTTCCCAGCAAAGATATGTTCCTTTGGCCCAGACTTCACGGAGGCTCCTCTGAGTCCTCTGTTTGACCAGGCTGTGCTTCTAGCTTTCTAGGCTGGGAAGGAATCCTGCGCAGCCAGTGCCAGGCACGGAAGGCTAGGTGCTCAGTGTCACACTGCTAGGGAAGGGACTTAGGAGCTGGGCCCCGTGAGAGGCCCAGGTCACTGGGCTCGTCCACAGGCACCGTGGGATCCCCGCTCATGCCATCCTTTTGCTTCTGGACTCCTGCTCAGCCGCATAATCCTCCCCCCACCCACAGCACCCTTACTGATGCCAGAAGTGGGCACCACCCAATCTTGGCCTGGTATTGCCCCAGCCACAAAACAAAATAAACCTGTTCTACGTAAGAGTTCATGGCCCCTGTCACACTCACAGGAAGCTAGCTGCCTCACATAGCTGGGCCGCCCCGTCCCCCATCCTACGCCCCTTCAGCAAGGATCTCCTGAGCCTTGCTCCCACTCTGCTCTGGGGCCCTCAGGGCCCCACTGGCTCTGCTGGAGGCTGAGTCGAGGCCAGCCTCTCCCGACTCAGAGCCCCCTACAGTGAACCTGCATCTAGAGTCCAGGGAGCACCATGAACCTGGACGGCACAGCCTTTACTCAGGTACAGCTAGGTTCTCGCAGAAGCGCCTGTATGTCTGCCTGTCTCTCGGGCACCCACAGAGAGTCTGAGTGCACAGCCCCAAAGCAAATGTGGCCCCTGTCCAAGCTGCCCTTTGTCAACAGTCCCTGTCTTAGTCACCGGCACTACTGGCACTCAGGCTAGACATTGCCAGATAAGAGCACGAGCTCCAGCCCTCTGGCCTCACCTTACATCTTCCTCCCTCCCTCCCTCCCTCCCTCCCTCCCTTGCTGTGTGACCCTCAGCCTGCCACCAAATTCTCTGTGCTTCATTCACATCTGCAGTGTGAAGGTAACCACAGCATTTCCTCCACACAGCTGTTACGAGCATCGAACGGGTTAATATTACAAGGGACTAAAGCTGTGAATGGCCCCCAGAAGAGCTCTACAAATGCTTTTTCAGGGAGCTTATGAAGACTTGCTCACCTCTTCTCAGCCCTCAGCATCCTGTCAGCCCATCTCCCGTGCACCATGACCTCCGCCCTCACCCACAGCACCACCCTTCAGCCCCCTGGCCTTGTCCCCTGGGCCCTCCCTCTACACAGCTACCCTAAGTCTTACCAAAACCATGGAGAAGTGAGCAGGATCATGGCAACCCAGCACACAGGAAAGTGATTCAGTGCAGCTGGCGTGCAATCCGTGTGGCCAGCGGAGGCACACGATTGTGTCACAGCTCCCTGGAGTCTCTCCCGCTCTCCCAGAAGTCCCAGCAAGCCCGCATCCTGCGGCCTGCTGCTCATCTCCAGAGTGGCCCTCTCTCTCCACAGCTCCTCTGCTCTACCCCTGATGCTAGCACCCTTGTCCACTCCACTGTCCTCCCCTACCCAGGTGTCACCTCACCTGGCACCTCAACAGGCCAGACACTGAGCTAGACACAAGGAATTAAGCAGGCAGGACCATCTCATTCTAGTGGGGGGAGGGGAGGAAGGGAAACAGATTTTCAAATGGAGGTGAGTGCTATGGATGGCACTGAACAGAGCAGATGTGGAAAGGAACCCTGAACCCACTTCTTTGGAATACACAGACATCAAAGGGTCTTGGGGGAGCTGGCTCCCCTGGCCATTCTTCCAAGCACATTGTTTGACATGACAGGCCCAGATCAACCCATGAGCTTGGGGCCCTTAAGGCTTGGAATGCACGGCCTTCCCTGAGCACAAGGACCCAGGCTGGAGGACCCGCAACACAAGGCCAACGGCAGTGCCAACCTGGTGGGTGTGCGCAGGAGGCCAAGAGGGTAAAGTTAGCTGTGACTCTACTGCTGCTGCCCGGCTTTGACACCTGCCTGTCTTCTTCACAGACACAGTCTTCTGTAGCATAAACTGTCACTTGCTCTATCATCCAACAAAGGGCAAGCAGTTTCGGCTGTGAAGCAGGCCGGCATGCCGGCCCATCAAATTCCAAAGTGTGCTCTGAAAATAAATCACAGCTGTGCAACACATGAGCGGTGGAACTTGAGGAAATGAAAAAACACATCTCTGTAATCGCTGCCGTGACCCCAAGAAATAACGGCCTCAATGTTTATTTTTCCACGCGCGTCTCCAGTTTCCTCCACACCAGGAGCCGCTTTCCTGGCTCCCGGGAAGGAAGCACACCTGACTCCAACTAGTGGGTGTGTTCCCGAAGGCCTTGTTTGAACTGGACTTGAGATAAAAGTATGAGTGGTGGGTAAAGAAGGCCCTGGGCACAGAACCCTAGTGGGGTGGCTGTCGGGCTCCCTGCAGCTTTCATGCGGCCCTGTTACGCACCAGACACTCAGTCCAGGCTCGTGTAAAATCCTCCCAGGGCCTTCTGAGCCCTGAACTCATCTTGAGGATTGGGGAGGACTTGTTCTTCTCGAGTCCATTTCCAGGCTGGTCCTCTCTGCATCCTGTCCTTCCCTCCTGGAGGCCCTAGTTTTGGTCACGTCTTCCTTCATACTTCTCAGGCCTGTCCCACCTGTTCCTCTCCCTCCTAATCTCCCCTCGGGATGCATGTGGAAGACCCTCCTCCACCCCATTCCACTCGCCCCACAGCCTCTCCATAGCCCCACTGGGAACCTCTGGCCCTCTGCAGCTGCCCCGAGGTGACAGCTTCCCCCAACACAGCCAAAAGCAAGCAGTACTCTGGATGCAGGGGAAGGAGCACAAGTCAGAAAATTAATAGGCCTCCTCTTTCTGGGTAGAAGGGCAGCAAGTTCCGATGGCTCCTCACACATCAGCCATGGGGCTGAGCAGATTGCTCAATTGCTCAGCCTCAGCTTCCTCAACTGGAAAGTGGAGCAGATGGTGCAGAGGACAAGAGTACGGAGCTGGTGGGAGGCAGCCACCTGCTCTGAGCACCCTGGGCCGGCCATCCTCTCCCCATACACAGCGCCGCCTGGGGCCAGAGGGCAGAACTCAGGCTTTTAATTTTTCTCCTTAAAAATGCTCTGTTGCCCTCCAACTAAGCTACTGTGATCTTTATAGAAGACTCCCCCTCCTGCCACAGGTGGACTAAAATTCCAGATAATCCACTCCAGAGGAAGCACTGTTGATACTTAGGAGCTCTTCCTGTCAGTGCTTTTCCAGCACACATTTGCTCTTCATTTCAGTTTACAAAGGTCTCCTGGCAACGTTTTCCATTCACGTCCCTTGCCATAAACGCAAAGATTTTATCACAAGCCCATTGCAAAGGATTTTCTAAATGCAATTCTACGTGGGTCATTTGCTTTTGGGAATTTCAGGTGTTTCCATGTCTTCCATACTGTGAACTGTGCTGCAGTGAACCCAACTTACAGTGGTTTCCCCACCATGGAACTGCTGCATTGAACAAGGACAGTGTCTGAATATTTTAATGCCATTAATACCAATATCTTAGTCTACACCTAGACGACCCAGTGAGTCCTACTGTGAGCATTTTATTGCTATCCTATTCTTCTAAGCCATGAAATGTGAATAAAAGTTATGACCCAAATCACATCGAAGTTTTTACCTATAATTTTCTCCAGGACAGTTGAAAGCACAATGCTCAGGGACAGGGGGCAGCAAGCCACAGCCTAGGGCTCAGAGCTGACCCACCCTCTGTTGTGAATAAAGCTTTATTATAAAACAGCCATGCCTACTTACTTACGTAAATACAACTACAACAACTTCTCTATGACAGAAACTCTACGGTCCCCAAGCCTAAAATACATCCTACCTGGCCCTCTACTAAAAAACATTTTCTGATTCCTGCTTCAAGTAAACAATCATAAAAATTCTGTACCAGAACATTTTTTCTATGGGTGG